ACAAATACTGCCTCTGCATAGAGACGTCCTACTTCGACGTAATCGCGCAATTAGCTGCAATGAATAAGTCATGTCTTGTACTTTTTATTTAAACTAGTAAGCAAGCATTAGCATAAACCGCAAAATGGGATCAGATGCACAAATTCCAATTCTACGCTTTATCAAACTACCAGCCCAGTTGCACGTCAGTGGTGCATTAAATGATGCATCAACGAAAATAACGGTGGAGCTTGATGAGGCCGTTGGGACGTTTTTGAACAAATATATGCACACAAACCTGATACATAAGCGACCCACAAAATGAAGGCAATACCCTCAGCAAACAACGCTTTGAATCATTAAATAATGCAACACTGCGTTGTTGTCACAATGCGCTTTGAAAAATGCACGCGCTAAGCCCCATTCAAGGGTAACAGCAGCAATTGGGAGTCAGAAAAAACACAAAATCTGCGATCTGAAAACACAAAACATGTGTTGTGAGGACCAATCTGCTGGAAAACAGGAGTCCTTTAAACCGTAATTAAGAGATACTAAGATGCATCAGATTCACAAAGAAAAACTCAAATCAACCAAGTTCGAAGTTTAATATACGAGTGGAAGCATTGTCACTCCGTCAAAGGGGCTGCATTGGTCTACGTGTCATTTGACGCCGACATTGACCTCAAGTAGTCAATGCTTTCCACCCATATGGGGAACATGTAATCCTTCCTTTTTTCATCACTTACTACAGAGGAAAGGAAAAAAGATCCAGTTAAAGCGTACGCCTTTCTTTACTTCAAAACTAAACATCATCAAACATATTGGAGCGGAAGTGATTGGAATTATTCACATAGTATTCGTATAGCATTAACATGTCCTTACAAATCAAAGATAAAATGACCAGCATATCAGTCCGACTCAATAAGTCCAGAAGTCATGATTAGCCATAACTACCGAGACGTATTTTTTTTCGTTTATTAAAGTGGAAAGGAAAAAAGATCAAGAATATTGTGAACTCGCTCAGTCATTTACATTCATTCGATGCACAAAACTTGTGCATTTCGTAGAGGAAACTTTTGCTTTGTTGGAGAATCGAAGGAGGAATTAGGGCCGCCTGAGTGAAAGTATATAGTGTATACAGTGTAGAGTTGATTGCGTTTTGTGAAACCCTTTTCCCCAAAATATCCTTTTACTCAACAAAAAGTGGAGAGCATATGCAATTATAGATTTTACGTGTTTAAATTCAGTATTCCTAAGCAAAGCATAAAGAGAAAAACAAAAAGGAATAACAAGCACAAACTGGTGTGTCACATCCAATGCTATAAGGATGGGGCAGAATTAAAACGTGACCGTTCAATAGATTAAAACAAATATTTAAATAAGTGTGTTGAAAAGGGAAGAAAGGGGAGTAGGAATGCCCAGCACCACGGAGGGTGACATTCAATCAAGCATCAAAGCATTCCTTAGGTACCGGAAGTACCCATAGAAGTGGGAAAACTAACAACATGGACCCAACACACTACCGCTTGGTCAGTATGGGGAAGACATAAATCATCCCACTCCGTTTCGAGATTGTATCCCCACAGCACTTGAACCCTATCAATGCAGTTGCGCCCCTGAATTTGAGCTCATAAACACTAGTAAATATTTCGTAACAAAAATCGTTTGAGAGATAACTTTGACTGGGATTATGTGCAAAAATCAAAATAATTTTTGATAAGGCCGAGTGAAAGCATCATTGCGATTCATTTGTCATATTTTGAAGCCCAACTGTCCTCCCTCCCATTAGTTGGTCCAAGTTCATGTTCATCCTGGAGAATTAGGCAATAGATGCGGGTCCTCATTATTCCAAATGAAGAAAATGTAACAAACTTATAATGCAAGTTTATGCACAGTAATTGGTCGAGGAATGGTCATTCACAGCAAAGGCTGAACAGGCAATACAATTTACCCCCTACCCAAGTAGGATTTATAGCCTTGGCATAAGAGCTGTCCCCTACTGTCGGAAGGCAACAGTTGGTCCACCGCCATGCTGTGATGGGCACCAGAGAGGTTGTGCCAAACCTAAGCCTCAAAGGAGTACCAGCTATTAGGCATGAGCCATAGCGCGTTGCAAAGTGAAACTAGGATTCTTGAAGCTTTCATAAATCACCAACTTTGTGAACCGATAATTGGTCCCATCACCAATGGTAAAGAATCCTAATGCCATGATAGTGCGCTCTTTCAGAAAGCCAAAGTTGTCTGCACCACTAGAGAGGCCTATAATTTATTGCAGTGTCATAGTCATCGCATGACGCATTTACACACCAGCCTGAGTATGATAGGTTTGACTGCACAATGAAAACTAATTAATCCTCCAGCTTCAATATGCACGTTTCAATCGGTGGCTTTAAGAATGGTGGAGAAACTTTTTTTTCCATCTAGAGTAAACAAATAATAAAAATCATAAGCTCACCAATATGCCACAGGAGTGAAAGCCATTGCAAGGTTTCGCACACCGTCCAGGTAAAATCTGTGCTAGTCATCATAGTGCATACCATAAGTGAAGGAAACATGATTGATAGACCTGCAGGAAATACTTTTGGAAAGTGTTTACTGGGAATGCATAGGTGTCTGTGCAAAAGAACATACAAAACAGTAGCTGCTTCACACATGCAACTTAATCACCCCTCACGCAAAACGAAATCTACAAAACAATTAAGAGGTCAGCATTACTTCAATGGATATGCGTGGCGTAAAGCAACTAGAATTATCCACAGTATTTACCTACTCAATTCTTGACCGTGCACAAGTCAAAGCTGCATAAATTAGCGTTACTGCGTTTCGAATTTCCATTTGAAGTGTTAAATGGTAATGACGTTACGGAGTGATCTCTCAGATGTTCTGCGCAAAAATGAGCGTTAAGAACCTATGAATAACGCAAGTGTATTCAAAAATAAAATAAGTTTCTCAAGTTTAGGGTTGCTTTCTTAGACCTTTCAATGAATCTCAGTTTAAAAGACAGCCTCAATTCACCAAGAGAACTTGGCACTGGTCAGTTCAACTATCGAATGCACTTGACAAAGTCAATGGACTCTTAGACTGCAAAAAATCCAGATCAGATGTGGTCATGTACTAGGCTGCTTCACACATTTTTTTGCAGCACGCATCATTGAACGGTAGGCCCACATCAACAGCATGCAATCACGTGATCTACGAATGTGGAAGCGCATGAGCGAATCATTCAAATATGCAACTCAACAAAAAGCAAGCAACAACTTCCCATACTCTATCTAACCATTTGTAAGTCCCCAAAAACCTCACATCACTAATTAACCATCGCTCATGTCTACTTCTTCCAATGTGCAAGCATCTCTTATTAGATTGGAGTTTTATGCGTAAAGGAAGACGCGTATTCGATCACGTGATGAGGTTTTAAGCGAACTTACAAATCCAGACTCGTCTAGCGTAGGGTTAGCAGCGGCGTAAACTTGTGGCGACTGAAAAGGAAACTCTACCGCTAGCCCCACAAGACTTACATCAATCACCAATGTAAAGGATTAAATGGCTTCCTTACCAGGTACACGACAGTGCTTTGAAACAGGAGCACGATTTGATAAAATTCCTGCACTTAAATGAGGCACTGTAGTAAATCATCTTTGTTGAAAGCAGAAAGACAACACTTACATATTGCACGACCTCTCATACTTGCCAGTTTGAAATATCTCTGTCAAACCTTGGCACTCCTCGAACCAAATACATTTCTATTGTATTTCTACATTTCCTATCAACTTAGAAGCAACAATATCGTCTATAGGTACTTACGTCTGACACTGATCGACCATAGCGAGAGCTAACTTCGTAGAACCCCTCAGTTACAGGTACGCTTCGAAACTTAAAGCTAATTCGATCTGCAGTCAACAAAATTATAACAATTAACATTTCCTAAGTAGTAAAATACCGAGTCTCAACACAGTTTCCGTCCCATCTTCGTTGCCCGACAATCCTAGACTCAGCCTCAAATGACAAGCTTATTTTCAAACTGGCTTACACGTCTACCGTGTCCTTAGGTCTCCATTTGATGCATAAAAAGGGCCGTTATAATACAACAAAGTTCTAAAATGAACCACTGAACAATGTGTAAGCATCCGATCCTGCTCACAATGGGAACATCATCGCTTTTATTAGACTACGATCCACAATCCCTATTTTGGGGAATCCAATCACCTTGTCAAGTTTGAAGAATGGCGACGCCATCGCCACTTCCTAATGTTGCGCAGCCCCTGTGCGTTCACAGCGGGCACGTTTGTGAACCAGCCCACCCCAACTGGAAGTGTCACTTGCAATAAAAACGTCTCCAAATATGGACAAAGTGCGAACAACAAATCCCTACCATGGATCGAACCATTCCACCTAGATGACAAGCCATAACGAATTCCTCCACTGTGCTTCGTGCATTTCTTCTTAAACACGCATTCACAACAAATGTGAGCCACCGCCTTAAACCTTTTCCAAACCGTAACATTCAAAACAAAGCAGAACGTTTAACTACTTGAATGATCATTTGTAAATGTTTATGCGAACAAGGACACAAGTGACTCACTTAGAATTCGCGCCGGTCAAAAGATATCAGGATGGAACGGCGTAATTAACGCACCAGTAAAACGAACGAACGAACCGTTACCCAGTCCAACTGACTGCCCTTCCGTGTCTCACTTTTGAAGCAAGCGAACCAAGCCGTTCTCGACTTGGAAATAAAGCCTGGGACGCAAAACACCAGCAGCGAAAATCCTTAAACTAGGAGCACATAAGAATGCTAACAAGTGGTAAAAAATACGCCATGTCTTTGATGAAGCCCACAATTTTTGCCACAAATTACGCCTCTGAGAACGCCTTAAACCGAGTTGAGTGGTCATTCGTCCCCTCTAGACCAAAACTTCACAACCTTCCTAGGTTGTCGAAAAGCTCCCAAAACAGCCTCTCCAGCACAAAAATAAGTCGAAGCATGCACGGTTGCAATACTACCGATTCATTAGGCAATTTCACGGCACATTCAACCTCAAAGCCATGTAGAAACAGAGCTCCATAACCGGCTCCTCAACAAGATGTAGGCAGGAGATCAGAAGGGACGGATCGACCAAAGTAATACCGCTAGGTGGACGGAGGGAACAAATAATGCACATCATTAGTACAGACAGATAATATGCAGCCATCCGAGAAACCTGTATAACTCGCGACAAAATAATTACGAATAAAGTGTTCCTGTAGTAGGGGGCGAAGGAAGGGGTCATTAATAGCAAGGAAGAGTATGAAAGAGCGTCGGAGTGCCCTGTAGGGCCGCTTTGAAACCAAGATTTCACAGACTTGCTTTTGCAAATTGCCGAGAGGAGGAAGTGCTCACGTGGGCATTCAGATGCGGGAGACGCATTTGCACCATCCAGACAGCAATAACAGTAATGCACAAAGGCGCCCTTGTTTAGTGAGGGTGCACCGAAAGACGGTATGGCGAATGATGGAGAAAAAGGTAAGGAAGGCAATGTAAATATCGGAGACTGATGGCGTGAATGAAGAAAGTGTGCGATGGCAACACACCCACGGAATCGATGGCACGTGTGCGTGCCAACGTCCCTGGAATGAGAATGGTGAACAATTTCGATTTTGCTCATGATTTAATGGTGAAAAGGGGAAGGAAAGGAGGAGGAGGAGGAGGAGGAGGAGGAGCCAAATGGAAGATGAAAGGAAGATCAGCGCAACACAAAATAAGGACTTAATCAATATGCTTGAAAGGAATGCGCACGCATAATTAAATGCGTCAATATCACTAGATATTTTTCGACTATTTCAGGGCGACGTCAACATAATCCCATATTAGGCAATGGGAGGCATGAATGGTAGGAAGTAATCTTGTCTACTTCCATAGAATGGGATTGTGCGCGATTAGAGCGATTGAAGGAAAGATCCACTCAGCTTTTGGTGAGACTGTACAGGATTGTCGGGAGAATTGAAACTGACAGGAAGAGAGAAGAAAATGGGAGCTGAAGCATAAAGGTGGTGAATTCAGGCGAAAATGCGGTGCGAAAGGACAAACTATGTGTATATATGTATATGTATGAGGGTGTGACAGTGCTGTTTATAACCTTCAATCGGACGCACCGGCCCGAAGGAATTCCTTGTGATTTTGAGGTTTTCTAAGGTGTGCATCAGAACTCCGAAAAGAGGGAGTCCCAGAGGCATCTTTCTGAGACGCGAATGTCGCTAGACGTTGTTTCAGATGTTGTAGCTTAAAAGTCATCACCAGAAGACGTACTTCATCATCACGCCTTTCAGGTTTTCGCATGCGATTAAGAAATTCGTCTAATTCTGTCGCCAATCGAGTCATTTGCGCCACGTGTGGACCACCGGCGAGAGCCAGTATCCGCTCCTTAAGATTTATGACCTTGTCCCAAGCAACACGAAAGTGCTCATAAAGGCGCAGGTATTTGGGGTATAGTGACTCAAAGGCTTCGCGGTAAGCTGCTGCCTGACTAGCATTGGAAATCGCCGGATACAGTCTAAAGTGGTAGAAAGGATAGAAGCAAGTTTCAAAAGTAGAGCTGCGAAAATAGATTTCTGCGGATTACCTTTCAATTTCGGCATTTTTGGAAGAAACGCTATCATAGAGATAGTCTTCATCAGAGAGGTCAGAGGTTTTCTCCTCGTTGCACGGATAGGGTCGCTGTCCCTTATCTGCAGATGGAGTAGGAATTTCGGAGTGTCAGTAACAGTGGGACGAGCTACTGCAACATTTACTCATTTTACTCAGTTTAGCAAGATATCACAAGCCATCACAGTATCATCATCTCGTCCACCAGCAAAGAGACGCTTTGAAGAAAAGTGAGCACAGAGACGGCAAATAGATGATGCATGCGCAAAATTTTTGCCTAGTCGACGCGGTAATCAGACCCATTTGAAGGTGCATAATAATCTCGACAGCATTCTGGTCGAACCAACAAACGCACATATGTGGAGAAATAAACGCTCTGGGAGAACATGGACAACTTGGATCCATAATGGGTTCGATTGCCCTGCATTTTACTCAACTTCACGTCAATGGAGTTGAAGATGCCGAAAAAAATCAAAGCATTCGTGTTGATTTGCCCCCAAAATAAGGAAAGAGAGTATATTTGCAATGAGAGAAGATAGACTGTGCATGAGACAGAAATAGCAGCCACCACTACTGCTTGTTTACGCTGAAATATGCACACCCAAATAAGGGCTGCACTTGACAAATAAGGATAAACAAGCACTACAACGGGCACCCACGCACTGTTAAATAAAGTCAAAAATGATGGAAGCAAAGAAACCCTTCAGACTCACAAACAGAGTTAGAACAACCACTTGGAGTTGTTGAACATTTCTCTTTGACACATCATTGGACAGCGAAACTAATGAAGTAGTATGATAAGACCGCAATACACAACTACATGGATCTACAGAATACTATCCTCCATCACCTGCGCATGCAAATTAAGAGAACTACCAACGCTAGAGTACAGCAACAAGACGCCAGACGAGTTCAAGTTCAACTTTTGGTAGTAACGCTCAATATCTGTAATGCCTCATTCAGATCGCCCGAATTGGACAATAAACAATTTGGATTAAAGATGAGTCCTGATCTAGGCCCAATTCAATTTCCGGGCGCAAAATTCTCATGGAGAACTATAACAATAGCATCTACCTAAATTAACTTCTTGATGCAATGAAATGCAGTTATGCAGGCGAGAGCTAACTGCATAGTATTTAAATTATAAGAAAAAACACCTGACAGTGTAATGCAGCTATAAGCGGACAAAATGGTGTTCGAATGTTGGCCTCAATAAAGCGAGTAGTAATGATTGAAGCTTCAACTATGTGGACGCGAAACAAGATTATGCATCTGAATAACCAACACCAAAACGATATGCACATGCATGTCGGACGAACTGATGTAATTTAAGAGGACTCAAAATCTACGGAAACTTCTTTGTAGTAAAAGAGTTAAATAAAAAAACATCTTGATGGATGAACCAAGTAAGGATAATTGCACTTTCTAAGCAGCCAATTAAAACCACGCCTTTGTCACGTGAACTTCGTTGATGACAAAAAAAGCATAAAATGCAAGGATACAAATGAGAACAAGCTCTCCATGCTATAATCATTGTCTGATTTAAGAACCTATATGCAGGATATGGATATCGAAAGCATGAACTTGATCTGACCTAAAAGAATCATACCCGACTTAGAATCAATCACTGGTAAGCGAGCATATAACTGCGACAGCGGAGTCGCCTCTGCAGGAGGGCTACAGCTGTCGCCGCAGCTACTGGTCTCGCTGCCTCGGTCACACGGATGATGCTGTTGAGATCCATTTGGACGATCATCGACGGGGCGCGGGGGAAGAGAGTCAGTTCGTCTCGAGTGGCCACCGCTTGTGACGCTGTCACCAGCATCACGACCACCACAGAGGAGAGCATCAAAGGGTCGTTTCCGAATCGAGGGGGAGTGCTTCCCAAGGCTCACTGGAGAGGGATCTTTGAGAGAATTTGATGGGGGCTTGACAGGAGGAGGGATAGCAGCAGCAGTAGTTGCCCCAGAGTGGCGATTCGTAGAGAAAGACATGGATTGAAAAGAAGGACAATTTCCTGAGATTGAGGATGTGGAACCGCACGAGTGGACGCCACTTTCATCAGATGAGAGTCGGGCACGTTTCGGGGCACTGGGTTTTGACGTGTTGGCACTGTTTTTGGCAACGAAACCAGAATATGTAGCATTTTTAGACGCGTCTTGGGTCGAGGAAAGTGGTGCAGCAGTGGACTGGGGCATCGTACAACCACGGCGCTGGGAATATCTCTAAATTTGAAAGGAAATTTTTGTGAAATACATCAGGAAATCTAGTCGGAACGCTAATATTTCATCAAACTTGTGTGAACGCAGCTATTTGTTGAGCTCACAACACCAAGCATTTTAATAAACAAATTCGAAAGATAAAATGGGCATGCTCTCATAACGACCTTCAAACTTGTGTGCATAAACCAGAAATCTTGTAGTCATGGAATTAGTGATAGGTTCTACAATGACACAAGGCCAGAGTCATAGTGCAAGTTTCAACTTTCAGGAAGTAGTTCAGAATTCATGATTTAAATGCTCAGAAGTAAACGAGTAAGACTTACGCAGGTCGAGCACAAGGTCACAAAGGTTAATAATATGCACTATGACTATGTATCCTCAAATGGACGCCTGACCGAGGTCCATTTCGACGTATCAGTAACGAACTGTCTTAACGGTAATTGAATTAAACGTGAAGTAGATTAACAGATGTATTATTTTAATACCTCACCTGCACGTGGTGACTTCCGTCAAGATATCTCAAAACCAATGAAAATTCAAACAATCCTGACCATATTGCCTTCAAAATCATTTGAAAATTTGCGTTAACGATTGTACTAACCAGTCGCAAGGTTGTCTCGTTGTTCTTCCAGCTCTCCAGCAACGTCGGGGTGATTCCGTGCTGAGCAGCAACGGAAGCCAAGGAGATTCCTGACGCGAGAAGATCCAGCGCAGCAATCTTCTTGCTAAGTGCATGCGGTGCCGAAGGAGCGCTGGCACGCGTCGGCTTCCGTCCAAAGTCCTCCATCGACGCTACCGCTGGTGGTGCTACGATGGGCGAGTTCTGTCGACTGCTCGGCGTCACACGGGAAGCCACGCTCCCCTCTACGGAAGAGCGATTGTTCGTGCCACTCGGAGAATTCGTAGACAACTTAGCCTGAAAGCGCGTCACAATCGCCACAACATAGTGCTTGGCTTTAAAACTATCCGAAAAGCTTGTTTATTCTTTAGCTTCCATCAATCTATCTTAGCTAGCCTCCGCCCTACAATCTTGATTACCTTGGCGTGTATCAAATATAGTGAAGAATAGAGATTTCAAAACCTTACCAATGCAGATTTCAATGAAGTTAACAATTTGACAATGTACTAAAAATCTATAAATTAGAACGGTTGCTCAAAACACTGGGATCAGTGACTTGCGGGGTGAAAGTAAAAAAAAATCAGTAAGTACGATAGGTTACCCACACCAATGGCATAAAGTTTCACCCAGCTTGCGCAACCCGTAGGTTGAGCTGCATACATTTATTCGGCTAAATCCTAAGTCCAAGGTCAGGGAAATCCGATAATGCCGATAATAATCTGCGTGATTTAGCGCATTGAGTTCAACATCAATGAATCCATTAACACTTGACTAAAAGTGCACCTCTGACGAGCTCCACGATAAATTACGTTCAGCAAACGCGGAAGACATTCTATCAGCATCTTCGAACTCGTAGACATTGTTCCCCATTTCGTTAAGAGGAATGGTTGCGTAGATGCGGTTGCATCTGGGTCATTCCAAAAAGATAAACTAAATGTCTTATTGGCACCTCTATGAATCATGCCAGCCAAAGGTGCTATTTTCGATGTTAACATAATCAGACTCCAAGGTAACATATGTATACATGTCCAAATCCAATAAAAACAGAACGACTTGCTTTAAGAGATGCAACAATACATCGTTCCGATGGAGAATACGCAGGCCAATTCGGTTCGACCAAATTAATAAACGCTGTGGAAAGGCGGTATTCACCCTGCCTCCCGGACCGCCCCACCTTGCTCAGAATGCTATCAACGTTATCTTTCTGTTCTTCAGTTAGTCCATCCCTTTTTAACCTCAAGAGAAGTTCTGCCCGCTGATATGGCTGTACGGCAAGCAAATGGATGATGCGGTCCCTATAAAATGCGACTATCGTGAACTGGTAATTAGACATTAAAAAATAAAGGTGTGCAAGGGATTACCGCAATGAACGCGCCCCCACTTCAATGTTGGTCGTAGCAGGACTATTGTACGCATTAACCACTGATGGACTACAGCTTCGAGCAGCGGATGAAGGTGAGATTCTCGAATCAGGATTGCGAGAGCTGGGTGGAGTTGGGACGGAACGTGGATTCAAACTTCCCTCGCGCATACAGGAACGCTTTACGTGTGAAACAACTGTGGACTTTGAATGAGTTTTCCTGTGATCCTCAGCTTCGGCCATTCTTAATTTCGCGGTAGAAAAGCTGTCAGCATTCGCCTGAACTGTTAGCTTTGAAACTGCCCTTCCCAAGTTAATTGCACGTGGCCTGAAATGAGTTCAAGTTCACGCATGAAACAAGGCAACTCACCCTAAGAATTGGATAACATCTAGGGTTCCATCAGAAGTCTGATGAAGAGGAGAAATACTCAACTCGTAGGAAATACAGGCTTGCTTCCCCGGGATGTACAAGTTCTAAATGAGGCAATATAAGCGCGGAAATGACAGCCCTACTCCCCGACTTCCATCTACCGAAATCTTGATCAGGTTTGACTAGATAATGATTACACAACCTCAACTATCTACACCCTACCTGCTTGGGAGAGATGGTTTCGAGAGTCTTCAGAGCAGAGTCTGTCAATTTGACGGAAAATATTTCAATATCATCACGTTTCTCTTTGCTAAGTTTATAGACACCCTCCGGCACAGTTTTGATAGGCATGGTATTCCAAAGAAAGACAGAAGGCCAATCAACTGCAAGAAACCGCCACAAACAGCTGATTTAAAAAATATGTTGAGTTGAAAGATATAAACAAATTCATCCAAATTTTTTAACTCTGGAAAAACTATATATATTCCTTAACTAATTTAGGTGACCAATCCATAAGTAGTGCGTTTTATGTCAGCTTGTTTCCTCAACTGATTCGTGTAGCATGCTCCATGGCCAATTTAGCAGTTTATGCTTGCTTTTCTTCACTCGTCTATGATATATTAAATTAAATTCTTTGTTTACGCAATTTTAACGGTTTTATTTAAAAAATCTTGGCAAAATGTTGCGTTTTCTTAAATGCACTCATTTTTAGGTAAATGATCAAAAGGTTAAGACTTTCTTGAAGGCATTGTAAGTCATGTTAGTTGTTTCAATTGCGTTCTGTGAAGGAAAGGTATTAACCAAATTTGAGCTTCGCGCAATAGAGTGCAAAGATTCTTCTCTGAATTGTCTCAAAATACTTATTTTTCATTTCTTTCTACTTTTCTGGTTTCACCTTTTTACGATGCCTGGTAAACCACTGTTACCTATTCCTATTCTAAGAAGACTAAGATGAAGGATGTGGAGAGTGGTGAGGAAAATATTGCAGTAGCATAAGTCCAATTTTCTTGGATTGACCATTTACTGACCGCGGTCAAACTCGTGATTTAGGAAACCGGTCCACCTATTGAAATCTATTCACTACAAAATCGTCTCTCTGAGTGCTGACAACATTTATGGTAGTCTTACTTCTGTTGAATAGACTGATCTTTGACCTCTCAGAACGCTGAAAATATGGTTGCTGAAACCGAATGCCATACATTGAAAATATAACGTAGCATCCGTCTTCTCTTAAACATATTTCAGGTATTGTATCAAACCCGAGGCTTAAATGGCCAAGTATTACGTTGCTGCAGTTGTTGGCGTATAGGATAGCTTAGTGGTGGCTGTAATGCTTTGTTTCAGTGAATATCTGACGTTTTGCGGTCACCTAATGATTTATTTGGCCTTTGTACTCGTGGGCTGACCTTTGGGCCGTGGTCAGGCTCAGTTGCTTTAATCTATTTGGAATACATGTATCTAGCTTCACTTGCTACCTTCTTCCACCTCATGGAAAGTCACGTCTCAGGACGCCACAATGGTAAGTTTGGCTTGAAAACTATACTGCCAAGCTGAAATACAGACTCAAGACTTTAAATTCTGCATCGTTCAGTTTAAACTCTACCTCCAAATTTTACCCTAATGACAAGGTTAGAATTGGCCGCAAGCATTGAGATTTGCACTCATCATCATCTTTTGATTGATGAGCTCACTCCTCTGTCATCGGAACAAACCCAAACGTATTATTGGACTTGTCTTTTCCAGAAGTGGATTACAATGGCGCAAAATCGGTGTACGCCCGCGCCTGATGCTGAATCACTAATGATCACTGTCAGTGATCAATTGTCTGAAGACATGTAACCTAGGTATTTTGGACTTCTTAACAGAACAGCTAGCCAATCCTTATGTTAGCTGATACTGTCAACTTTCGCATTTATAAATATATGCGCTTATGACACCAAAGGTCTAGCATGCGCTTTAACTTGTAAGTTGCAAATCTTCGCGTTTACCGAACTTGATGTGCAGTTCGTGAATACCATTGAAACCAAATGGTGCATTAATTCGCCCCCATTTTTAAGATAGCGGCATGAAGTTGAGCTGATCCTGATGCGATATCACAGTGCGTTGATGTCACTCACCAATCGACTATCGACAACTTCCGCATGGATATTCAATCGATTTGAAAAATTAAACTATTCTGTGCTATTTGGTACATGGAGAAATGTCGCTGGTACATCGACCAGCGCTTTTAATGGCAACTTTAAAGCAAGCAAAGGCAAATGCTTCCTCGTTAAAATAATCGCCTTATTATTTAAGCACAAATGTAAAGAAATTACATTCGGATAATTAAATGCTTAGGCGCAGCCATGTTAGTTGCTCACAGATGAGGAATCCAGGTTTATTCAGCGTTTATACTCAATTTAACGTAAGTTTTGCTTGTTAGCTGGTTAAGAGTAAGTCAGTGCATCAGACGGGTGTGCTTCTACCCCTTGGCATCGAATGAAAGCTTGATTTTAGCGGCATCTTACAGATTTAGGCTATTGAACCAATGGCGTCCGTTAGAAATCAACGGATGCCCCTACCATTTTCAAAGGCGGAATAAAGTATTTGGCAAGTGAATGGATGTCAAAGTGCGTCTTGAAGTTCTGACTCAGGGTTTTTAGTTTTCAAAAGGCGTCGATCTTTGATTTATCATTTTTTTAATGAACAAATTTCGCCTTTTTAACAAGTTTTCTAGTAGCGCATACTAGTTGTTGCTGAAATGGAAGTGAATTGCTTGCATACACTTTCACAGAACACTAAGATACTCCTTACAATGGTTGTGCAGTTCATTTTCGACCACAATAGGACTTATTTTGTTACCTTTGGCCACCGTGCTATGCGTTTGCAGCACAGGAAAATTGGTACCTAGAGCGATTAAAACCGAGCTTTATATTGTTGGTTGATGTGAAAGTAATTAGGGCGTAAGCAGGCACATTTCGGCATATTTGTGCGTCTATCTCTTTCACTTGGCTACTCTTCATCGCGTCAAAATTTCTCCCCTTCTTCCTCAAAAGTACTTGTCGAAATGGAATTGCTGTAGACTCTACTTAATGGTGAGGTTTTCACGGCTTCGCTATGCAGTGTGAGTGCCTCACTGTTTGCACTTTGTACCTTATTATAGAGATGGAGTTTTAACTAACTCTTCTTTTCGTTAATTCGTTTTGAGTAATCCATAAAATTCCCTTTAGTAATTATGCTTGCACTGCTTTGATTTGATCGAGTAGTAAACGAGGCCTACTTTTTCGGCAAATGTGCCACATTGCTTTATCAAAACTTATACTCTGACTAATTTTCTAAACGAATTTTCATTTTTGGCTGACTTTTCCGCTTCAAAACAAGGCGAGATTGTCAATTGCTTCAAGCTAAACGTGTGTTCACGAAGTGAGGCAACCTAAAAAGAGAGGCTCTGAAACAGGAAAATTTTTGTTTCCTATAGCAAGAGTTTCATTTAAAACGTTGGTTTTATCAACCTGCGGTCATATTCGTGCATTCCTCTGGGCAAAGTTCAAGTGGTGCTTTCATAAATGCAAAATATAAAGGGAAATGAGGTGACTTTAGTTCTGAGGCAAATTTATCACATACCAATGTGTTATGAGTGCCTTTGTAACTTACAAACAATGGCAGGCGCTGCCGTCGCTTCCGGAGTTCTCGTTCGATGCGCCCATCGAAATCGCATTTCTGAAGTGCTTTGATGCCTTACGTTGCTCAGCTTCAGGGAGTTTAATTTTTGAGCTAATTAATTTGCTCACTTGAACCGCTTTGAAGTATCAATGGGTGTCGTATGCGGTTGATGAACCAGCAAATTCGAAGGCACGAATTTGCAAGGGCTGAATGCACCTCTTTAATTCCTCTCGAAATGGCAACAACGATGATGAAAGTATACAATAGGTAGGTGAACCATGGTCTCCGAGTGCATTGCGCTCCAACCTGGAATAATCATGCGTCCACCACTTGGAATCTTATTTGAATTAATAATGGTAGGTCAAATTCACCTTTGTGCAAGTCACCAACTTTAAAATAGTTTTTTGAAACAAGTACTAGGTTTTAGGGGAAATATATTGCGCAAAACGCTTCTGTGGGGTCACTGGTGTTGTCTTTGGGCTTGTCAAAACTATTCTGACCCTTTTCAAAGGCTTAAACCTATCTTTATTTCTCCAGGAGTAGAAGCAAATGTGGTTTCTGTGCGATGCTGCATTGAGTGCGAGGTGAAATAGCAGTCTAGCATCCTGCATTGGGTAGCGAAAGTACTTGAAAGCTGTGCATTTTGTAAAAATGATGCATTAATAGTACATTTGTTAATAAATAAACACGAACGGTGTTTGCATTTCCAATAGGCAAAAATAGTGAGCAGACAATTTGGAGTGCTGTATTACATGAGGTAAAGCCGTAGAATTTTAGATATTTCTATGGCATAATTATACGCATGCATATTTTGGGCCGACACTTATTGTAAACACAAAAATCTAAGAAGATGGTTCGGCGTTTTGAGGCGGTTTGACGTGATTACAAGTGTTGGCTGCACACGGTGCCCTAATCCTCGCATTCGACTGCTCATCCTCCTTCCAAAAGGGACTCACATCGTTAAAATTGCTTTGCCTTTATTGTCGTCTATTTACTTCACGCGTCTATGAATGTTCATTTAGGCCACCTTTTCAGTTGCTTGCTGCTTCTCCAAATCTTCACATCCTGAGACACGAACAACCAAAACGTGAAGAAGCATCCAAGGTATCCAAATCTTGCTGTACTTCGTTCCACTTCGTCACTTTTAAGCAGGATGACAACTTTCAAGAAAAATTGACACAGATCTCTGAAAGTGTCCTAGATTATTTTTTCTTACCATTATGCACTTTACCGGACTTATCTTCATCAACACTCCGTGGCTACATTAGTTATCAAGACAATTATTAACATTTTAGTAAATACACGATTTCCATTTGCTATCGCGATTAGTCCTCGTATTTCCTTGATATCTGGACGACTTGCCCACTACCTCTACTCACAGCGTCTTTCGAAGTTGGGTGCCTTTTCACCGAACGGAATTAATGCGAGTAAGGGAGCCCAACCGAATGATAAATTGGCGTGAGCCTGATGCCAGTGTCACTTCTTTTCGTGAATTCCCATCCAACGTACAAATTGCATTCCACCTAAACACCTGACACTGCGCCAGGGCACTATGCGATGCCTAATGTGCGCCGACAGGCACAAATGGAAGGGTCCTAAGCTACGCCAGGGATGGCCGAACAGGGGCCGTGCACATTGGCGCGCAGAGCAGAAGGCAATTGTTTTTGCATCTGACTTTTTAATTGATAATGTGCAACATCCATTTGAAACATGACATGCACACTTTCTGCCATCTAGTTTCTGTGAAGGGCAAACCTTCATTCAGCTTTTATCGACGTAAAACATTAACTAAATGGTCTGTAGCAAATGACTTACTGTGATCGCAACTTAACTTCTACCATTATTTACGATGGTCATTTAAATGAAATCAGGAATCTTGATCAGGCCCGTTTCAGGTCCATCTATTTTTACTTGCGTCATAAAACTCTTTTCTTACTTTTCCAGCCTCCAACACAAATTATGCGACTTCTCTTGCGTCTCCTTCATTTTTTGCGTTTCGGGAGTACGTGATGGGGAAAGCCATTTGAAAAGTCCCTATTCAAAGTGCTTCTCTACTTATAACTTGTAGTTAAAACCACATTCAGTTGCATTAGTCCGGTAATTTGGAAAAAAAGTAAGAATATATGAGGGAGAATTAGTTTGGTCATTGTACATTATTCCTGGTTTCCTGTATCATCTGTCTTCACTCACTTGGTGGTCAATATAATGTGATACGGCGGTATACTTCGTCTCAATTTGGTTCGTGTGTGGAAAATCAACTTTTTCTTAGTTGAAGTGATTATCGCATAAAGGAAGTGGTTGGACAAATATTTTAGGTTGATAAATTCAATTGGATTTACACAACACCAATCTGGAAGTAAGCGTAGCCTGCCAGTCACGCGTACGCCACTCGAAACGTCGCTCGGTCGGATAAGGAACTCCATTTCGACTTTGTTCGAGTAGTCACAACAGTGGGCGCAGGCAGTGGACATTGGTAGCTGCCATTCGCCCTACTGCCATTGTTCAAAGGAACAGAGTGAATATATGTTGCCTTTCCTCTCCATTTTACGGCTGATCTAAACTTCTAAAACAGCGAAATAGTGGAATAAAAGTGGGATGGGACATTAAGAAGGTGCTAATCATCTCCTCAAAGTGTCGACAAATTACTACCAAAAATAGCAATAACAACTTCCATCCAATGAACTCGCTGCCTTTTTTGGGCTAAATTGTATCAGTAGCTTAGCACCTGCAGAGACTACGCTTCGCATGAATTGTGTCAGTGCGGTTTTGAGGCGTCTGGTCAAATCGTTTCAGCCGGACTGGCTGAGAGCAGTTTGAGGTCAAATATGGAGGTATGGGCGCTTCCACTTGCCTATTTGCAGCTCAGAAACCAATTAAACTTTGCAATACTTTCTAAACAATGTGCTTTTAGACAGCGAGTGAAATTGTGTAAATACTGATGGCACAGCAAGGAGTACTTGTTAATATCAAATACTTGTATTTTTCACCCGTATTGCACAGGTCTTTTTTTGCACACGAGACAAATCCAGAATTTGTCCTGATCACAAGTTCATTTGACCATTTTATGCTCTCCATTTATTATTCATCGCCAAGACCTACTGACTACTAAATATTGGGGGACGAAGATAGTCTACTACTCACCGAAGAGAAGAAGTGTCCCAGACACTCCTTCTCTTCAATTGTCTTTACTCCCAACACGTCAAACGCCTCGCTGATTTTCTCACAGTGTAATGGGACGCGGAAACCACAATGTCTGCACAGGTTCCACTTAGTTGGAGGTAGTCATAAACTCGTTTGTGGCGTATAAAATAACATTGAATAGCTAAGAAATTATCTGATTTTATGCGATTTTTTAGGCATACGCCGCGTTTTATTGCTTATTGGCTAAGACTGCCTAATCAAACGGTTCTCCATCTTTTCAGTTTAGATCGTAGCGTCTCTTGTCTCCCTGAACAAAGGTTTGATGCAGGTATTGCCATCGAAGTGGACCCCTTGTCCCATTTTTAGCTTCTCTCAACGACACCAGCCAAATGGCCAAAGGAGTCCTACCTCCACACACAAACTCAACCACTTCATGACTCATAGCAAGCGAAGTCCGGCTTCATCGGTGCGGACAAAACCATTGATCAGCTTAGCTATCTTCAGCTATGTTAATTTGGCATGAAAGGTTCCGGCATTGCAGCTTTCTTAAGGCATAGAATTAACAAACGCAACATTCTTGAGTACAAACTGTGTGGATGATTAGCTTGATTTGCAAGCTCGAACTCTAGCACTTCAGACAATCAAGTATAACATGCCACCTTGATGTTCAAAACTTCTGCGCATGTTCCAGCCATCCATCTTCACTACACCCAGTAAGAAAGTAAA